TTCAATTTTTATTGCGTCTTTCAGGGTTTTGTATAAAATGTTGTAAAATGTGATCATATTTCTGTATAAAGTTAATAATTAATTAAATTAATTTTTCCAAATATCCTGAATTAAATAGGTTTCTCAAAATCCGTCGTTAAATATAGTTTTCCAAAACCATGCATTAATTATAGGTTACCAAAAATCCGGAATTAATTATAGGATTCAAAAGATCAGGTATAAATTATAGGTTTCAATAAATCCTGATAGATTATAGGTTACCAAAAATCCTGCATTAATTATGAGTTTCATAAGATCCGGCATTAATTGTATGTATTTTTAAAAAATTGCACAACTAATGGGACGGTGGGACTAAACAGATTGTTTAATGGTATGAAACTGTCGGTTCTATTACAGTATCAGTTTTTTCTACTTACTATATATATATATATATATATATATATATATATATATATATATATATATATATATATATATATTTATATAAATAAAAACACCCAACCCTCCCTAAACTTAACCTTATTTCCGAACGTATCTCATAATTGATACAACAATAGTTAATAGTAATGAACTACCGCCCCTGTCTGAATGATTGGATTTCTCCGTATCTTTGGAAACAGGAAATTATGAATTTATGTGTGTGTTTAAAACTCAGTAAATTTAACAATAAGTTATTCCAAAATTCGCTTGAAGATGAAATGGAACTAATGCTTTTAATTATTTATATAATTAATTTTTTTTAGCTTCACTTTTTGAACCATGGTTATCACTGTTTAGCGAATAAACCATATTTTAAATCAGTTAATTTATGATATTTATGCTCTGTAAATTTACATTGAGGACTGTTTTGTAAAAATAAAAAAATTATATCAATAAGAACACCGGATTATATTTCTTACTGTTCTTTCTTTTTCATATATATATATATATATATATATATATATATATAAAAGGTTGGATATTATGTATATTCCCTAATATATACTTAATAGCTCTGCCTCATAACATTGAGCACTCTATTTATAACCCCTGTGGCAGAAATATATTTATGCGTACGTAAAGTTTTTCGTGTGTGTATGTGTTTTTTTATACACATATCTATATATATATATATATATATATATATATATATATATATATATATATATATATATACTCTGTGCATTTAGGCAGCATTTTTTCATTGATACATGTTTCATTAAATAATATAGACAAGGTTTGTCTATTTATTTTATTGTCTGATAAGCTTAATAACATTATCAAAATAAACTATGAATTCTCCACAAATATTCTTATATGCCTAAAATTGATAACAGAATCCATTGGTTTATACTAACGGCTTCCCATACTTAATACTTCTCGTTTTCACTCTGGCGTGGTCATGTGTGACGTCACGAGCTGCGACGCGATTTTCGCTTCCGCGTCTCGTATACACCAATTGGTCGTTGCTTTGAAAATTTTCATGCAACAATAACATATTATCATTATTGTTTCGTCCGTGTATTGTTTAATATATTGAAATGTAATTGTCATCTTTGATAATGGCTTATGTAAGCCGAAAGCTTAGATTGGATTTAAACATGTATCAATATGGTGTTTTTTTCGTCCTTCAATGATAATGTTATTAAGTTTATCAGACAATATGAAAGGAATTTGCTTAAAATAAATAGACAAAACTTCTCTATATTATTTAATGAAACTTGCATCAATGAAAAATTGCTGCCTAAATATATATATATATATATATATATATATATATATATATATATATATATATATATGATCCTGAAAAATTTATTTCGGTTGAGCTCTCTAGGGAGGAAGTGTGGGTTTGTAAACAGGGACTATTACGGCTAATAATTCAAGACTCTTCGGTAAATCGAATCGAGTTCTCTCAGTCACTGTGTGTTTATCACAAAATAAATACGCTTAAATTCACCTTCATCCCTGCCGTGGGCCAACGGCTTAGGGGTAGAATCCCCGACTGACGCCAATTCAGTCGGGTTTCGATCTACGGACGTCTAGCCACACTGATGTGCTGTGATACAGCGAAACTGTCTGTCTGTTGATGACAATATATATATATATATATATATATATATATATATGTGTGTGTGTGTGTGTGTGTGTGTGTGTGTGTGTGTGTGTAACTATGAACCTAAAGAGCTAGGTTAACCTACCCGCCCGAAATATAATTTTAGGAATAAGGAAGCCTGTCCCCTTCAGGGCAAGTGCCAACAAGAGTGCGTCGTATACCAAGTAAACATATATAAGGATAAACGATATAATCCTGATAAAAATTCTAAGGTCTATATAGGATGTACCCAAAATAATTTTAAAACACGATACTATAACCACCTTAGTAGTTTTAATAACGAAACATACAAACATAGCACCACTTTATCCACTTATGTATGGAAGGTCAAACAAGAGGATAATAAAGACACCATTTTGAATTGGGAAATATTTTTAAAAAATGTCACAGATATAAAGCAAGTGATAAATTTTTTTCATTATGCACAGAGGAAAATTTAGCTATTGCTATGTATAAAGAACCAAATAATTTACTAAATCTAAAATCTGAGTAAATGTAGACATAGAAAATGCTGGTTATTAGAACAGGGTTTTTTTTGTTTTGTTTTTTGTTTTTTCGTTATTGAATACATACGTAACCTCACCCCCGTTGTTAAGTTACTGATTGACTTGTTTTTTGTTTTGTTTTTTAGTCACTTGGTCATGTTTTTATGTTGTAGGCTATATATTCTGTTCTATATTTTACCTCTTTAGCCAGCGTACCCTGATGATCCGCGTAGGTGAAACCTAGGTAGGTTTGCCTGGCTCTTTAGGTTCATAGATTTGCTCTACTTAATGTATTGTGCACTTTACTTGGTTACTTTTGCTTTACTCGTTTTGGAGGTTTTTTTTTCTTTGGACTCTGAACTTGGATTCTGGACGATTGTTTTCGCCTTAGTTTAATGTCCTTAGTTCTTGCTTTTTTTATTCCTTATTTTTCCTTGGGTATTGGGTTGTTCATTTACAAGCCAAAACACCTAAGGTTTTTCCAGACGAGTATAACTATTTATATTTATATTATTATTATTATTATTATACACACTATAATTATTATATTATTATTATTATACATACATATATATATATATGTATATATATAAATTGTCATTATGTTAATTGCATTGTATTTTTAATGAATATTGTCCTGAAGAAGGTTATTAAACCGAAACGTCAGACGTAAACATTTCATTCATATTAAAACAACATAATCACATTCTAAGGATTTTTGTTTGTTTTTCCAGATATTTTCTTCATTCTGTCGGATTTATATCCATTTATATTTTCTTATCATATATATATGTATAATTTTTCATATATATATATATATATATATATATATATATATATATAGCCTGTTTCGCTGTAACACAGCTCATCACATACTAGACCTGTTTCAAGCTGGGATCGAAATTCGACCGAGCTCATCGAGTCCGGCTAGACATCCAGAGAAAAGAAATTTGATCGTATTGGGATCGAAACGCCAGTGGCAAAAAAGTGCTCAATTCTGTAACGAAGAGTGTTGTATAAAGAGCAGCAGCAGCCACTGATTTTAAAATCACCCTTTTACCAAAAATGCTCAATCGGCAAACGAGCTGTTATTCCCTGTTCAATATCCATCACCTCATTATTACTGTTGTCCCCAGGTGCACCTTGGTCTGGCGTGGTAGCCCCTGTTAAGGCCCCAGATATGGATAAAGAGTGAACGCCACAAACTAAAACAATACACTTTGAAAATATAAAAATTCATCTTTAGAGTAAAAATGCCAGCAATACATTAACAAACATGGCCAACAATAAAATGGCCAACAATAGATTTTATCTGTAGTTGAAGGTACAATATTGGCTTGAAAATAATTCGGCCTTAAATAACAAATAGAGGTTGATATGACGCTAAACAAAAACAGCTAACAAAATCAGTATCTATCTATCTATGTGTCTGTCTATCTGTCAATTAATCTATCACAGTCTATTCATATCTATCTGAGTCTTTCAATATCTATTTTTCTATCTCAGTCTGTTCATATATATATATATATGTATGTATATCAGTCTGTTTATATCTATTTCAAATTGTTTATATATATATATATATATATATATATATATATATATATATCACTCTCAGTCTGTTCATATCTGTCACAGATTGTTTATATCTATCTCAGTCTGTTTATCACTCTCTCTCTCTCTCTCTCTCTCTCTCTCTATATCTATCTATCTATCTATATATATATATATATATATATATGTTAAGAAAAAAAAAAATATATATATATATATATAAAGTTTCAAATTAAAAAAATTATAATGTTTTATTTTATGAAAGTATTTATTTATTTATATATATATTTGATATTTCAGATTGCCCTCAATCTTTCATCAGAAATAACTGTTTGTTACAAATAAATTAAAATTACTGTTTGTTAGCAAGTATCGTCCTTCGCGAGACGCGGACGTCACGTGATATGGAACGTCACTGTTCGGATATTCCTAACTTAAATCTAACTGTCATAAATATTTTAGATGTTGTTTAAAAAAATTAAAAAATTTTAACTATATCTAAAAAATCATAAAATAAAACATTATTATTTTTTTTTAATTTGCAACTTTTTTCTATATATACATATTAAGAAAGTATACGTGGCTTCTCATTATGCTATATATATATATATATATATATATATATATATATATATATATATATATATATATATATATATCAGTCTGTTAATAGCTATCTATCACAGTCTGTGCATATCAATCTACCTATCTATCGCAGTATGTTTATATCACTCACAATCTGTTCATATCTATCTATCCATCTATCTATCTCGGTCTCTTCCTATCTATCTGTCTATATATATATATATATATATATATATATATATATATATCAGTCTGTTCATATATATGTTTGTATGTATTTATGTATCTATCATATATATATATATATATATATATATATATATATTGTAGACTGATATATATATATATCAGTCTGTCCATCCAGTCTGTTCATATCTATCTACCTATCTATCGCAGTTTGTTCATGATTATCTACCTATCTATTAGTCTGTTCATATATATATATATATATATATATATATATATATATATATATATATATATATATATATATATATATATATATTATATATATATATATATATATATATATATATATATATATATATATATATATATATATATCAGTCTGTTAATAGCTATCTATCACAGTCTGTGCATATCAATCTACCTATCTATCGCAGTATGTTTATATCACTCACAATCTGTTCATATTATCTATCCATCTATCTATCTCGGTCTCTTCCTATCTATCTATCTATATATATATATATATATATATATATATATATATCAGTCTGTTCATATATATGTTTGTATGTATTTATGTATCTATCTATATATATATATATATATATATATATATATATATATATATTGTAGACTGATATATATATATATCAGTCTGTCCATCCAGTCTGTTCATATCTATCTACCTATCTATCGCAGTTTGTTCATGATTATCTACCTATCTATTAGTCTGTTCATATATATATATATATATATATATATATATATATATATATACAATATATATATATATATATATATATATATATATATATATATATATATATATATATATATATCAGCCTGTTGATTATATAACTATGTATTTACTATATATATATATATATGTGTGTGTGTTAATAACCTTATTTTCATTATGTTTGACTGTTCTTGTCTATCTATCTACCTACCTACATACCTACCTATCTATCAGTCTATCTCAATGTGTTCATTATCTATCTATCAGTCTATCTATGTATCTATGTATCCATCTGCCACATTATTTATCCCTTTTCGCTCTAGCCTACCTAATCATAGACTCGACCCAATCATTTGAAGACAACGTGGCATCGCATCTGTACCATCGAAAGAGCGAAACAATCAACAAGACGCGCGGCAAGGCAAACAGCCGAGTCCGAACGAGCCAAGGGCACACAGTTTTTACATGATTCCAGTCGACCCCAGCCACCTCCACGCCCCACGGTCTGCCGGCGAAGTTCTACTCCGCGCCACTCGTCCGTAAATAAAAATCAGAAGATGAAGAATAAAAGGGTGACCTCCCCATCGAATTTCACATTTTTCTTTCAACCTCTTTGCTCTTTCTGCAACCTCTTACCCTCTCACACCGTCTCTCTTTCTCTTTCTCTTTCTCTCGCTGACAATGTCTCTCTCATTCTCTCTCTCTCTCTTTCTCTCTCTCTCACGCTTTCACTCTCAAGTTCTCTATCTCTCCCTGTATCTATCTCATTTATTTTTCGCATACTCACTTGTCTCATATTTTCATTCCCACTCTTTTATTGAACTCTCTCTCCCCCCCACTTACCTTAATTTCTCTCGAACACATTTCTCACCCCCTCTCTTTCTCTCTCTTTATCTCTCTCTCTTTCTCTCTCTTTCTCTCTCTTTCCCTCTCTTTCTCTCTCTCTCTCTTGTGTTTCGTAGACTTTCCCACTTTCTTTCTATATCTATCTATCGCTCTTTCTCTCTCTCTCTCTTTATCTATCTATCTATATATCTATCTCAAAAAGTTCATATCAAAATATCTATCACATTCTATTTATCTATCTCAGCGTGTATCTCACTCTGTTGCTATCTCCCGTTCTCTTCCTCTCCCACTCTCTCACACTTTCACATTCTGTTCATTATCTATCTATCTATCTATCTCATCTATCATATCTATCTATCTATCTATCTATCTATCTCAGTCTGTTCATATCTATCTATCTATCTATATCAGTCTGTTCATATCTATTCATCTATCTATCTATATCAGTCTGTTTCATATATCTATCTATCTATCTATCTATCTATCTATCTATCTATCTATATCAGTCTGTTAATTATCTATCTATCTATCTATCTATCTATATATCTATCTATCTATCTCAGTCTGTTCATATTCATCTATCTATCTATCTATCTATCTATCTCATATCTATCTGTTCCATCTATCTATCTAGATTCATCTATCTATCTATCTATCTCAGACTGTTAATTATCTATCTATCTATCTATCTATCTATCTATCTCATTTTGTTCATATCTATCTATCTATCTATCTATCTATCTATATCAGTGAATTCATATGTATGTATTTATCTCTCTCTGTTCATATCTATCTGTCTATCTATCTATCTCAGTTTGTTCATATCTACATATCTACCTATCTATCTCAGCCTGCCTGTTTATATTTATATATCACTATATCTATCACTATATGTATCTCAGTCTGTTCATATCTATCTATCTATCTATCTATCTATCTATCTACCTACCTACCTACCTCAGTCTGTTCATATCTATCTATCTATCTATCTATCTATCTACCCTACCTACCTACCTACCTCAGTCTGTTCATATCTGTCTCATCATGTCTCTCTCACTCTGTTGCTATATTCCTTTCTCTTCTCCCGCTCCCTCTCTGTCTCTCTACACATCTATCTCACATCGCACACACTCAAACAATCATATTGTTCCTGTCTTTCTCTCTCTCTCTCTCTCTTTCCCACTCTCTCTCTCTCTCTTTCCCCTCTCTCTCTCTCTCTCTCTCTCTTTCTCACTGTCTCTTTCACTCCGTCTCTTTTTTGCTCTTTCTCACTCTCTCTTTTATTCTATCATGCTCTCTCTCCCACTTTCATCTCGCTCTATTTTGCTCGCATTCGCTCAATCTCTCTTGTTTGCTCTGTCGCCCTCTCACCCTCTCTTTCTTGCTCTCTATCTTTCCCCATATCTCACTCCCTGACTCTTTCACATTCTCTCCATGTCTCTCTCCATGTCTCTCTCTCTCTCTCTCTCTCCCTCTCTCTCTCTCCTTTTTTTGATTATTTGGTTCCTCGTATTGTTTTATTCTCCGTTTTCGGTGTTGTTTATTTGTCCGTTCGCCAACCCCCGCCCCCTCCCGCTCTCCAGTTCCGTGAGGCAAAAACGCTGTCGCTGTTTTGACAACACCGGGGTCAAAGGGCGTCCCGTTTGGCGGTAAATTGCCACCAACTCGAGGCGCGGGAATAAAGACAAAATTTTTGCCTTCCTCGCTTTTTTTTTTTTTCGACAAAGATGAATGAAAGAAAATCAAACGTTTTGCTTTTTTTTTTAAATAATAGAAAGAAAATGGAAGAAGAAAGAAGAGGAGAAGGAAGAGAAGAAGGAAAAATGAAAGCGGAGGAGGAAGAGGAGAAGTCAAGGAAAGAGGAAGAAGAAGGCGGAGGAAGAGAAGGAGGAGGAAGAGAAGAAGGAGGAGGAGGAGGAGAAGAAGGAAGGAGGAGGAGGAGGAGAAAAGGAGAAGGATGAGTAAGAGGCGAAGAATGAGGAGAAGGAGAAGAATTATGAGTATATGATTTTTATTACCCATGACCCATCTATATATATGTTATCTATCAGTCTGTTCATATCTATCTATCTATCTATCTATTTATCTTATAGTCTATCTATCTATTTATCTTATATCTGTTCATATCTATCTAATTCAGTCTACTCATCCATCTCATCTATCTATCTATCTATCTATCAGTATCTATCTATCAGTCTGTTTACATATCTATTTCAGTTTGTTCATATCTATCTATTCATCTATCTATCTATCTATCTATCTATCTATCTATCAGTCTGTTCATATCTATTTCAGTTTATTCATCTATCTATCTATCTATCTATCTATCTATCTATCTATCAGTCTGTTCATATCTATTTCAGTTTGCTCATATCTATCTATCTATCTATCTATCTATCTATCAGTCTGTTCAGTTTGTTTGTATTTATTATCATCTATCTACTTATATCTATCCATCTATATTATCTACCAGTCTGTTCATATCTATTTCAGTTTGCTCACATCTATCTATCATATCTATCTATCTATCTATCTATCTATCTATCTATCTATCTATCAGTCTGTTCATATCTATTTCAGTTTGCTCATATCTATCTATCTATCTATCTATCTATCTATGTATCTGTCTGTCTGTTTGTATCTATTTCAGTCTGCTCATATCTATCTATCAATCTATCTATCCGTCTTTTCATATCTCTACCTATCTATCTTGTTATCTAACACACACTATTCCTTATCTGTATTTCTATATAACTATCACACTCTTCATTATCTATCTCGCTATTTATATATCTATTTATCACACTCTGTTCATTATCTATCTATCTATCAATCTATCTATCTGTTTAACAGACACTGTTCATTATCTATATATCTATAAAACCATTTATTACACTCTCTTAATTATCTATATCTATCACACTCTATTCATTATCTATGTCTCTAACACAATATGTTTGTCTATCTCGCTCAATCTGTTCACATCTGTGTAGAGGGTGCGATGGATAAATTGTCGTCTAAATGACGTAAAAATGAAAATAACACTGATATCTCATTTTAACAGATATGCAGCGTGCGATGCATAAATGGTCGTCTAAATGATGCCAGAGTGAAAATAACACTGACATCTCATTTTAACAGATATATTAACCAAAATTACACGAAAATATCTTGAAATACTAAAATCGCCATTTGGCTTCAACCACTGCCAACAGACGACTTCAGAATCTCCTGCAACTCTTCTGGACGGTCTCCTTGATTAAGTTGGGAAATGCTGCCATAATCCTTGTTTTCAGCTCATCTTTGGTGTTACAGGGAGTTTTTGTTGGTTTCTCACTCAACCGCGCCCCACACATGATAATCAAGGAGGGGTGCCCTTGGGGGAGTCAGGTGGCCAGTTGTATGAGGTGATGTGGTCGCAGAAATTGGCTGACAGCCATGATTGTGTTGTCCTACTTGTGGCATGATGTAGATTCCTGCTGCCAAACATAAGGTCTTCCAGCAGCCACACCCTTGATCCAGGGCAGAACTGCCTCCCTAAGGCACCTGATGTAGGCATCCGTGTTAAATCTGAGGTCCTCACCAACACATTCTCTAGTTTTTTCGTATCAGAATCATCAGAGACGCCATACCTTCGTAATCACCATTAGACTCATCGAACTCTTTCTGAATCCCTTGCACTGTCCTTAAGTTGACATCCTCTGGTTTTGTTTTGTTTTGTCCTGTTTTTTAATAAAACTCCCCCCCCTTTAAATAGATATCTATCACTCTCCTTAACCGCCATCTTGTGCCTAGCGTCTGACTGAAACAGTAAAAAGTGTAATCTCTGTATTAAATGTTTTCTGAAAAGGTTGATCCTTTAGATTCCAATATCAATTACTCACGGTTAACTGCTACTTCTTGCTTCCTCTAACCTTACAGACATGAACTTCATTCCACACCGGGGTTGAAAAGACAGTCTGCCGATATATATATATATATATATATATATATATATATATATATATATATATATATATATATATATATGAAATGTAACATCAAAATTGTTAGATTAAGCTTTGAACCCCTACATATTAGAAATGATTAAAGATATCTTACTGGAATTCACCCAGCTTTTTATAACACTATTGGACTCTACTTTGAGCAATAAGAATAGGTTGAAATGATGATCCCTCTTGCTGTTGTGATCTCCTGACCCAGTTTTCATCGCTTAAAATAATCCATTCATCATAGATATATATAGTACAGGTAATCTCTCCGTTGGTATATAATCCGGGTAATCTTATATATTAAAACTGTTCCACAAAGAGCTCGATGTATTTATTATTTTTACAGCAAAAAAAAAACAAACAGAAATTACCTCAACATGGTAGATAATCTATTTCAAGCCGTTCTGTACGCGGCTATCATCAGCCCCTAAGTGTCTGGAGACACGGCTTGAAATAGACTTCGATGTTGATGAATTTTTTTTTTTTGCTGTAAAAATATATATATATATATATGTGTGTGTGTGTGTGTAAATACAATAAAAATCCATGAACAAATCAGTGAGATTTGTACATTAGGTAAATGTCAAAAATAAATGTAAAATGTATTGCTTGAAGGAGGGTGAGTATTATCTATCGGTATCATGCAGTTCCTATCTGTCTCTATTTATGTCTATTTTTCATTATCTGTCTATCAATCTCAGTCGGTTCATTATCTAACAAAATAATTTTACTCACTACAAAGATGCAACTTCGTTTCTGTGCATTTCACTTGCACCTCGACTGGTGAGAACAGAAAATGGTTAGGAACAATTCCTTTTTTTCCATTTGAGAAAAAAATATACATAAAGCAAAAATGTGACGGAGTGAAACAATAGTGCTTGTTGATAGCAGTTTGGTGATGGAATGGTGAGGTGTTAATTGATGGCTAGTCTGGGAAGATTCCTTGCCGATAAACAACGGTCAAAAGTTTAGGCACAGCATCTCACAAGTGTCTTAAGAGTGAGATGTGGGGGAGGAAAGGTTGGAATAAGATAGATAGATAGATAGAGAGAGAGAGAGAGAGAGAGAGAGAGAATTAAAAGACTGACATAGATAAATAGATAGACAGAATATCAAGAGACTGAGATAGATAGATAGATAGATAGATAGACAGACAGACAGAAAGAGAATGAAAAGACTGATATAGATAGATAGATAGATAGATAGAGAGAGAGAGAGAGAGAGAGAGATCGCAAAGGCGAGAATAGAAGCATAAACAATAACATTAATATTTTTTATAAAAATCAAATGAACGAAAATTATAAACAAGACGAAAGTAAAATTAGGAACATTATAAAAAAAATACATAACACCAGTTGACAATAGTAAAAAAAATAGATTATTTATTTATTACAAACAATTTAAAACCTCTACCCTTGTAGTTAAAAATAATAATTCATCTCGTAGAACAAAATTAAATAGGGCAAATATTATTTACGAATTTAAATGTCCATTAAAGAATTGTATTCCTGATCAATAAAAATTCGTAAATAATTGTATAGGCCACACTACAACATGTTTGACACACAGACTCACTCTACACATTTCTGACCATAGCTCAATTAGATCTCATTTAAATATTCATGGAGACCTACCGGACACTATTCGTAACATACTTGTTGACAACACTAATATAATAGCATCATCTACATGCAAAGAAAAGGCTAAAAATAATGGAAGCCTCATTAATAAAAACAAAAAAAGCAATACTTAATATTAACTTTGAACATGGACATAATATCTTGACTGTGTTTTGAAAATGAAAACATTATATAAATACATACATGCAACAAACTAATTCTTAATTAACAGTTAAAATATTTAATCCTTGAAAATGACTAAATGTATAGCCGAAAGCGCTCGGATAAAAAGAACATTCGGACAGTTTTTATATAATTTATCATCCGAAAAGAAAAAAAATAGTAGATCGCATGAAAGAAGTATTGCTGCTTAAATACACAAATTTTATACACACTTATATATATATATATATATATATATATATATATATATATATATATATATATATATATATATATAGATATATAATGAACATATATATATATATATATATATATATATATATATATATATATATAGGTCTGTTCATTATCTATCTATCAATTTATTTATCGATATTTATCTCAGTCTCTTGATATTCTATGTCAGTCTTTTCACTATCTCTTTCTCTCTCTCTATCTCTCTCTCTCTCACTCTCTCTGTGTGTGTATCTCTCTCTCTCTCTCTCTGTGTATCTCTCTCTCTCTGTGTATCTCTCTCTCTTTCTCTCTCTACATACATATATATATATATCAATCTATCTCGGTCTTTTCGTTAATTCTCTATGACAGTCTCTTCATTATCTATCTATCTATCATTCTCAGCCTTTACACTTTCTCTCTATCTATCTATCTATCTATCTATCTATCTATCTATCTATCTATCAGAATGTATACTCACATCTATCTGTCTTTAATAGGATTTCTCGAAAGTCCAGGCCGGTAGACGAAAGAAAATACTGTTTAAAGTAAATGGGGCGTCTACTTAAACCTGGCTATCCGTAAAAAATAAACCTTAAAATATATATATATATATATGTGTGTGTGTGTGTGTGTGTGTAAATACAATAAAAATTGGTGAATAATCAATGAGATTTGTACATTGGGTAAATGTCAAAAATAAAATGTAGAATGTATTGTTTGAAGGAGAGATAGTGTTATCTATCTGTCTCATTCAGTTTCTAAGTGAATTATTTTTAAATTATTATTAAGAAAAAAATGTCTAGTCAAGTGATTTTTCTTTTGATCCAGGGAAATGGTAAAAAAACATATTCCATAAATGGAAAAGGAGAAACTGAAAAGTTCAGTGGCCGTGCGGATTAAACCCTTTCTGCTTTGAAAATTCTTTCTGCCTTGAAAATCATCTTAGATAATCCGAGCTATTTTTGGCCCCGACTTGAACACTGACATAAGGCACCGACTGGTAGAACGCAACCCTTTCGGCCTTGAAGCAGCCCCGAGTCCCTATTTCATCTTTCCTAAGCTACACTAAAATTAATGGGAACGATCAAAGAAAGCCGAGTAAGGGGGCGTAACTCTTGTCTTTTTTTCTCTCTCTATCAATGAACTCTTAACTCCAGAAGCATTTGTTTCGCTCGTTCACTCGTCATTGGTGACCGCTGCTTAGTTTACTATGCACGGCTTTGGCGCGCATTTCATGAATAAAATAAAGAAGTTCATGGGGAAGGCGGCTGCAGTTAGCCTCTTGGCAAATATACTTTAGGGCTCGACACTTAGGTCATTCGACTCAGCAATGCAAGGTCTTCTATTTCAAGTACCAGCGATTATTTATACGTCCTCATTTTAGGACTATTTACAACCATTACATTGATCGCTATCTGAGGTGTAATTTCAATATTATTTTTCGCCTGATACAAAGCCCAAGAACCTCTCAAGGTAGAGGATAACTGCTTGAGCTTGCTCTAAGAGCGTAAAAGGTGGAAGAAACGTGCATATTTTGAGGATATATAACAGTTTGCCCTATACTTGAAAAGGTCAAGATCGGAGTAATCCCAGAAGTTTTGAGGAAAGAAGCTATCTGAGTTGAACTTCACCCTTACTAATGGAATATGAAAATGAATAGGGATGAGTAAGCTCTGTGCATTGGAATAGCGGTTCCTAGCTGTGAATG